TTTTTTTTTTTTTTTTTTTTTTTTGATAGAAAATATCTTTTACATTTTGATATTGATAAATCAATAAGAAAGAAATAAATTGTTACATTTAGATTAATACGATCGGACTCGGCAAATGCCAACAAAGGATTTTTACTGAACAGTTACAAAAGTCAATTGAAAGATTTAACTAAAGAAAACAATCAACTGGCATCTAAAATTAACAGTTTGGAGAACGACATCAGCAATATTCGAAGCACTAATTCACAGTTGAGAGCAAAAGTATGTATTTTGAAATTAACTTTTTAGTAGATTTAATATATTTTGTTTTTATTAGATTTCAGTTTTAAGTGTTGAAAAAGATAAGCTACTTTCAGACAAAGAAAAATCAAAAACAGATATAAAGGAAAAGGTAAAATATATTAAATATATTAATAATTTTTACAAAAAAAAGGAAAATAATTTATAGATTAAATATATGTTTAATTAGATGGAAACAAAATGTGCTAAAAAATGTGAAGAAACGATTCAACAAGAAATTGAAATTATTAGAACTAAATACGAGGAAATTATTAAGACTTTAAAAATGAAAATATCGATTACTCAAAATGAGAATGTCGAATACTTGAATGCTATTAAGGTATAGCATTGCAATTATGTAAACTTTAACATTTTTTCAGATTATGAAAAACGTTCAGAAATGTTATTTTAAATTAGGAATTTTTAAAGAAACTTTATTATGAATATCAAGTAGATCATAAATCGTACAAAAGCTCAAATGAAAGTGAAGCAAGTGAAAGAGAAGCTCAAGAAACTGCCTGTAATATTTTGAATATGACTCCAGATGAATTATCTGGTTTCATTAATGGAAAAACTCAAAATTCGGTAATTTATTGCTAACAATTAATTCATTAAATAATATATTTACAAAAAGAGATAATAATTATAAATAAAATGTTTAATAATTTTTATAGATTAATTCATGGATTGTTGAATTAAATCGAATAACGAAAACAGATCATTTTTCCAAAGATTTATCGAAGTTTTTATTGAAAAAAGCAGCAAAGAAAATAAAGACATGAAGAAAATCAAAGAAAAGTGGGATTATATATGTTTTTTCAAAATTGTTTTTCTGTATATTAATAAACAAAATATGTAATGCATTATTTTCAATATTATTAAAAAATAAATATAGTTCGCCTTTTCTAAAAATTCAGTCTAATACAAAAAATGATTTAAAAACTGTTATCAGCACTCTATCTTTAAAAATTTGATAATGAAAATTTAATGTAATGAATTTTTTAGAAAGAGTTTTGTAAAAAATATTATATAATATAGTAAAGTAAATATTTTTAGTGATGATCCATAATAATTAATATAAATTAACTGAAAATCTGTAAATTAATACATCATAGAGATGTTATTTCAAAAGATATTCTTATATAAATTAATTTATATAAATTATAAATATCAATATATAACATTAATGTTAAATCAATCACGAATTTATAAGGCGAACATCTCTCAATTATTATACTTTCTGTTTTAAACTATAAATTAAGTATTATTGCATATTAACTCTTTCACATATTCGATTAAACTTTAATATCAATATTCATTTTTACAGTAAAAACTATCCAATTCTATACCAATAGAAAAAGACAACAGTATATCAAAGCGAACAATATCCAAAAATCTTTTCAAAATTCACTAATTTCTAAGAAAGAACTCATGCTACGTTCAATTATCGCTTTGTAATTCACTGGATCCAGTTGCATCTGGTGCCTTTTGTAACTGCGCACTCTGGAATCTGTCATATCCATTATTTTCTCCAAAAATCTTTCTTCCAGAGATTCTCTCGTCATCTTTCACACTCACTTCCGTTCCAATTTGCACTGGCCAGGGTAACTTTCCTTCATTTCTTACCGTAATCTGATTCGCCAATTTCCTGTCATTATTTTGATCAAATGGATCGTTATTTCGAAGATTTTCTAACGTCATCTTGCGACGACTCTCCTCTTCAGGATATGGATAAGGCCTATCTACAAAGCTCGATCTCTTTGAATAATTATCATAACCATCATACGCGTGTCTATATCGATATCTACTAGGATCAACATTCCCTGGAATACGTTTATAATTTCCATCCCTAGAAACTGGTCCTGTTCTAGTTCCATCATATGGTCTAGGATAATTTCTCAGATCTACAGGTTTCCTTACTATTTCCGGCAATGTTGCATAGTAGATAATCCTCTTGGGCTTGGGCGTTGGTCTGCTACGACCATAAAGATCCAAATCCTCGTCCCTATACCGATCATAATAATAAGAATAATCATTGGGGGGAACTCGCATATAATAGTCTCTTTCCATTCTATATCGATCAGGATAATAATAATTATATCCACGACGATAACTTAGAGGTTCATAGTCTCGTTCCCTGATGGTGGTACTCCTGTACCATGGAACATCATAATCATCATAGGCTCTAGTGATAGGCATATCTCGAGCTTCTCGATGTTCGTAACTTCTTCTATGGTGACTGGTTATAAAATCAGCTCGTGGAGTGTGATAACTCCTTGCATTTGGCAATTCTTCGTCATCCATTGTTTGCTGAATCATTTGATCTAAACTAGATCTATGGGGAAACTCTATGGATAATGGTTGAGTGGACCAACCATCTGGAGAACTTAAACGTATCTCTCGAACATTTTTACTAGTAGATATTTGTTCCATCTTCGTTTCGTTTTCTGCGTCACGACGAAACCTTGGTACAATTTTCTTTGTCTCGTCTTCAATATTCTTTAATAAATCTTTATTGTCTTTTGGATCTAGAACAGTCATTGCTATTCCTGCTTTAAATATCTTATCTTCCGCTGCATCATTCATTTCGTCTTGGTTTTCGTATTGATCGTAGGAAGAATCTTCAAAATTTGTTTCGAATTGATTGAAATACTTTTGGCTGAATAAAACGTTTGATTTTGATAACGGAATAATATTGGGCTGGATGGATTTTGATTGGTCAAGTTTTAGCTTCCTCTGAGTGGTTTCTGAAGGATTAAGATGACCGACACCACTCACACTGCGAACTTCGAACGCAGAAGAATCGAGTCGCGGCCATGATGGATGATTCCAGTAATCGGTTGTGTATGGAAGAATTTGCCATGCTTTTCCAACTCCTACTGTGCCGATTTCTGTTATCAGGAACAATAGCAGCGATATTTGAAACAGAAGTAACATATTCGCTTATCTAAAAAAAAAAAAAATAATAATTGTTATTATTATTTAACTATTTTAATTTGTATTTTTTAAAAATATTCTTTTATACATTATTATTTTTGAACTTCAAAAAATGAGAGAATTATTCA